GAGTCGATCCTTTGACTGCGACCATATTAAAATAAATTTTCTTTGCTTATGACATATTGTGGAATGACAGGTTGCCCTCAATCCTGTTGCTTACCTGTATTAGCACACCCGTGTTTTGTGAAGCGACTTCTCTATTTTCTTATTCTTCGCGGCGTCTCTGAGCTCCGACAACTTTGGAGGTCGTCTTGACTATAACCTGTACTCTTCTACCCATAAGCATGCCTGTTGTATCTTGCTTCTCTTCAGTTTTTTTTCGGTTCCATTTCGGTCTACCAAACTCATCACGCTTAATGACAGAAAGCATTTCATCTTGCTTGTGATGATGGTGATAATCATGATTCTTATCAGTTTACTTAATTAACTCAGCTGCGTTCCAGAAAGCTTCCTTTTCCGCTAATCCAACTAGGACCTTGTACTGCATATTGTGGATTTCCTCATTGTCCAGCTGCCTGCAAGAATCGCCACCTGGCAGACTTAGGCCTCCCGAAGGAAAGCCAAGTGGCGCAAGATGTGTGAACAGAGGACATAAAGAAATCACATCTCAAAGACGAGTCTCCCAAGAGAACAGTTAACCGTGTGGAAACGCCTGACATGGCTTGGGCTCTGTTCCATCCTTTGTCCTCCTCTCTTTTGCCTTTCATACGCCCCGAGACAGTCCATACACGCAAATATAAGCTTTCCTTCTTCACCTCCAGCTCTCCTTTCATTCGTTCACCCTCTCCTTTCTGTCCGACTCTTCCCTTTCTGCTTCTTAGTTCACATAATTCTTCCCTTTGCCTAACCAGAATCATGGACATCGCTACACTGTGAGCCTCACGACTGTCGAAACTATTACCTTCTCATCAGTTCATCCAAGCCCAACTCAAATCTGCTTCGCCCAGGTCCGCCAACCCCCAGGCCAGCTTGTATCCGCATCGGGAGATGATGACGAACGGGTACACGTGGTTTTATACAAACGTGCACGCATTTATGGACGCATGCACATACACGTTTCCATGTTTACACTTGCATGTGTATGTATGTGTGCCTATGCATGTATGCTGACATTGTGTATGTGCATGAATATATATATATATATATATTTAGTTATTTAGTTATTTATTTATGCACATGTATGCGTGTATGCAAGTGTATACACGTGGATGTACTTATGCCTGCTTGTGTTTCTCTCTAGTTTGATGTATGCTCTCCCGTTGATACGTTTATGAATACTGAGGGGGCAGGATAATTTCTGAGGAAGGCGTAAATGTGTTGACAGAGTGGAATTGAAGAAAATCACAACGATTACATCCTTCTGGGTAGGATAATTGTATTTGAGTCAGACCAACAAGAAACACGAGGAGATCTGAAATTGCTTGCAACTGGTCCATGTAAACGTTTGCATTCTGGTGAATAGTGAATGAGTGTCAAACATGGAAAACTATTGTAGCGTGAACTATACAATGACTTAAACACCAACTAAAGCAGTTAGTTTCCCCATGAAAGGAAATATTACTAGTAAGCAAATACGAGATGAATTTGCTATATAAACTATAGATGGACCGAATTTAGGTAAAATTTGTTTTAATTTGGCAACGCATTTAATTAAAAACAATTAATAGAGAAGATCACCCATCAAAATATATGTTCATTGTGGTTGATAAGTATTTGGATGCAAGGCTGAAACTGAAATCCACACATTTGAAGATAATCTGGGTGTCAAAGTCTTTCTTAGTAGAATGATGACATCCCGGATATCGAAGGTGAGATATCTTGAACTTATGACTATTGGATTGTGCGAAGAGGATCTCAGCTCACCGTCTTGCGATTCCGATGACTCCCTGCTGAGCTTCCTTCTGTCATGTGATGGACATTGTCAAAGCCAGAAACCATCATTTAGGAACAATAATCCAAAAAACAGTAAACGAAGAAAGTTAACCCTTCAAAATTATACTTAATTTTTACGCCTAACTTCACCATCTTAATAAGGCATTCCATTATCTGATGCAATCCATACAGTAGCAGGAAAAATCCTCAAAATGCGACTAACTGAATAGATGGCGGCAGTAGTGCAGAAGATGGATTGTGCATCTTAGATCAACAGAACTGCATTATTTTACTCACTAATTTAGGATAAACGAAAAGCAAGATGGTAGGATTTCAAGTATTCATGGAAAAAACATTAATAGGAAAACCTATAACTCTAGGCACTCACATGCGTTAGTCAAGGTATTCACAAAGAATGGGAATAGGCGGAAATTGAGGGCGAAAAATGATTATATTTTCCTATGCCGGGAAATAGGACTACCAGTTCTTCCTCACCCTAAACGAAATAGGGTGATTGCAGCATTTATATCAAATCTATTGGTAGTCTCGATGACCTGCTTATAAACGTAAAGTAGCCTTTTTTGGCACAAAAGAGGGTTACACTCATTAACAGGCTTTACCGCAATCCAATTTGTCTGTCTACCAGCCATTCGGGTATATAATACGAAAACCCAGAGAAGTGCTTTCATTTTGGTCTGTCGACTGGGAGGACTGTATACGAAGTGGGCCAATGCTAGACATCTTATAATCGCTGTACTGCAAATAAGCGGAAGAGCAACTGTGGCATGCATATCTAGGGTTGTTTGCCTGACATAATGCTCACTTTTTGCTGCCTCAGAAATGAAGATTCTACGCATCATTTGGAGGTAGTGGACAACCTACAAAAGCCCATTGATTTGCTCTACAAATGTTACTTTCAAGACGGAGAAGGCTTCTCTCCGCATGCATCTTTAGAGAGGTCATCCGCAGTATTCCCATCAAACCCAATATGTTATTGACGTGTAGTTGGAACTATATTTATTGCTGCCATCAAAACTCTGATTGATGACACTGTGCACAATTTCCTATTAATAAGAGCTTTTCTCATCCTTGGTAGGTAAATATGATTAAAGACTAATAATGAATTTTCCCACAACGAAGAAGTTGATATTATGTGAAATTCTCTTCCCTCCCCTTGACGAAATATGGTGAATACATAACATATATATACTCTATTGGTAGTATCAAAAAACCTAATTATAATCGAAAAATAAATTTTATTTAGCCTTCCTTTCAAAATGTATTCCCCTCCTCGCCTGGGTTTCATTACTACCACCAAAGGGAATAGAACACTGATAGCACAGTGTATACTTTCGACATGTTAACACTG